TTTGTATCTGATTACTGGCAAGTTCAATGATACATGTTAGTGCTAATTAGTTTGTAGTTTGCATGTAATTATGTGATTTTCCTATGTTAATTATTTACTGATGATGACATTCGAACCTTTGTCGAAACACTTGGAAAAATAAAAATATAAAATATTTACTTTTTTGGGTACTTTTGACCGCATCTCATATTATTTAAATATGTTGAACTTGCTAATTTACTATTAAAAACGTTGCTCGATTAGACGCCATGTGATCATTTTCTTTATAAATATTTTATAGCAAATGGAAAAACCGATAAAAAACAAAAATACGCTAAAGAATTCTAATTCTTCATCTAATTATAGATTTATATGTCATTCCATTTATTCTCATGGCACAAAATAGGTCCCGATATTGCTTTGATTCTTCATAACTACTCAATTTACGTTTCACGTGCATTTTATGAGTCATTTATATCGTTCATATATTTATATTATTTCATACAATGGAAATGTAGTTATGTAAATATTTCTTCGTAAATGTAAAATTAAAATCTATTTTGTGTTTGGTTAAGTAATAAATTCTTACACCGTCAAGAATAACTCCAAAATGTAATAGAAACTCCGCATGAGTTCAAACGGAAAATGTTATGTATGCAATATTTGCAAAGGCGCGAAATTTGAATACTTATTGTTACAGGGGATTTCGGAATTAATAGAATATAATTTATAAATCATATAGTAGAAGCTTCAAGTTTTGAATTTACTGATTCAATCACAGATTTGTTTACTCTATAATATTACTTTATTTGATTTCAAATAAATACTCTTTGAATTTTAACTAAAATAAATGTAAAAGTGATGTTGAATAGAATGAATACATATCTACGTCTATAAGTTTAATAATAAAAATCGGTCTCTATAAAAAACTTACATATCTAGTCACAACGCAAATACATTGTCCGTTATTACAAATACGTATATGATACAATTTATGCATAAATTGTAAGTTGCGATCGAAGTCCCTATCGTTGCTATGTAGTTTTTATTAAATAAGCAATGTGGTTATTTATCATTGTTATTTTTCTTCAAAACATTGATTTTATTCGGCAAACAAATTATACTTCCTAATGAAATCCTGTAAATACCATTGCTTCCGGATAGTACTGACTCTATTCTAAATCTAGAAATCGGTTGCAAATTGTTAGGACAAATTTACACTCTCTACCAATGGGGGCTTTCGGATAAAGCAGATAATTTCTTTTGTTTATTGTTGTTGTTTTGTAGTTATTAAAGTACATATTACTAGATGACAAGTATTCAATATATTATATTCTAAAGCAAGAAATAGTACTTACTCTATTCTAAATCGGTTGCAAAGTTCTACGATATTTTAACCATTTTTACCCCAGATAAGACTAAAGCAGATCATCAGATCTTTGATTAATTATATCTAATACGTCGTTTAAAGTTATTGAATATTTTCACCTTATTAATTACCTTAAATTGATCACAATTTACTCTATTCTAAAGCAAGAAATTGGTTGCAAATACTTAGGACAATATAATAATGTACTTCAAATATGTATTAAGCTGAAATGGATCATTTCTTTTGTTTATTACATCGAACAATATGTGTAAAGTTCTGATAACAAGTTGGAATAATATTTAATTAATATAAATAAATAAAATTAATAGGATCTGTAGGACAATTTCATATTTGCATACCCTAAATTGATAGAATATTCTAAATAGTAGAATAGAGAATCAAAAGCATCAAATTAATTATTCTGCAAGACATTTCTAATTTAGTAGAAGTACATTCGATACATGCATATATATATATATATATATATATATATATATATATTTATGTGCTTGTGTGCTGCGTGTGCATTTTCAAAATAAGATTAACATAGTTGAAACGGTGTTAAAATAAAGGACTTAGCCTTGGAAGATACCTTAGAAATACTGACAATGTAGATTTACAAATATATTGAATAAATCCGGATATAGAGATGTGCAACATGCATATATGGGGTAAAGCGGGGCTAAAAGGTCCACTACCGATATCTCAAAAACAAGTAAAGTTAAGAATTTTTCAACAATAATATTTGAAAGTAGGGGGAAAAGATGTGTAACCAGCCATTAACTTGATTTTTACGGCGTAAAAAAAATCTATAACAAAAGTGTTTTGTTTAGTTGTTGGTTGTTTTGGTTTGGAGCACTGTTGTTTAGTTTATAGGACCTGAATAGAACTACATATTAGGTATACGTTATTTAATTGTTAATTTTAAGTCAAATTCAACAGTTTCTTTATATAACCTATATAATAGTTTATCCTAGGGTGGGGTAAAAAGGACCACGTTACAAATTTTTGAAGAAAATCATAAAAACACATTTCTACAATGATAAATTTGTTGTGTGTATTGTTAATTTTAAGTTAAATTCAACAGTTTTTTTATATGACCTATATAACAGTTTACCCAAGGGTGGGGTAAAAAGGACCACGTTATAAATT